ATATAACTGATTAAATAAAACATTAAGTAACATATCTAGGCATTAAAAAAAGGAGCGAGACAAAGCCTGGAATTAATTACAACAGGGTCGGGTGTCTTTTAGTCCTGGTCTAGGTTAGCCTGAGGCGTAGCCAGGCAATTAGTTTGCAGGAACTTTAGCAGTGGAAAAGCACCATAAAGTACATCCTCTGTTTTCAGTGAGCTCCCATTTCCTCTCTTAGAGGACACTATCTCTTCTGTATGTCCTTAGGCAGATGAAAAGAAAGTGGACGGTGGTCTGCTGCCTGATGCCAATGGCAAAGATCCGAACCAAGGCGGACAGACAGAGGGCTCCAAGTGGCAGAAACCACGGCTGTCACGTAACTCTCTGATGAAGTGCTGCCTCGTCAAGTGGATCATCGCCAGCACTACGCAGCAAGGGCCAGGTAAGGGGAAGAAGAGTCACCACCACCATGAACAACACTACACAACACTGAGTATCTGAATGATTGTGTGTGACAACAGGGAAAGTGGGAGAGCACCTAATCTCTGAGAAATGATAAGAAATGATCTCATCTTCATATCTAGGTTCAATCTTAACTATTCAAAATGAAAAAATGTATTTGGATTTCCTTTCACCATGTTTATAAATCACAAATGCAGAAGTGGATGAAGAGCACAGTGTCTTCCACTGACTGCCCCTACAGTACATGCCCCAGTTTTCTTGGTTGGTCTAAATTATTGGCATTGCCCTTCTGTGCAGGCAGACAGTGTAGACAGTCCACATGCACTTGACAGACAGGACAGACATTCGTTTCTGCACTGTGTCATTTAGTATCATAATATAATTCTCTTATTTAAACTAATGTGGAAACAATTTCTTGGAATTATTAGAACATTTCCCCCCTTTAAAAATGGATTCCAGAAAACTCCTGCTGCTGTCATCCAGGATCATTTACTGCTGATTTCCCTCTCTGCCAACAGACAGTCATGTTTACTGCATTTTGTTGCCTTGTATTTGTACATGGGTAGTGACAATAAAGTTGAATCCAATCTAACATGTACCCTGGAAATGAGACTGGTGGAAACAGTAACAGAAAAAATGCTTTAATGGCTACCAAACCATCACACAACCAATAATCCCATCAGCAAGCAAATAGACCTGGTCTAGGTTTTTAACAGACAGGAGCTCCACCACTTCATAACAGTTTGATCGCCATCTGCTGGTCTGTAGACATTTTTGCATCTGAATGCAGCTCTTTCTCTACAGTAGATAGTCATCTGTGCTCACTTTCATCCAGGTGTCTCATGCACAACACCACACTAAAAATGCTATAGTTAGTTTTTTGAGATATTCTCTCAGAAACAATATTTCTAAGAATTTAAAATAAAATTAAAATAATCCACCCATCCAGCTATTAACTATAATCACACTGGCCATTTTCCCACAGTTCCACCATTCTCATCTTCATATGTAGGAAATTGTGTTTGCTTACAGTTGAGGGCGCTCAGTTTATTCATCACTAAAGATTAACAAATTCACACAGTGTACTGTAACAATACAGACATGACTGTTTTTAGTGAAGGTTTTCCATTTAAAAAGGGGCTATTTTAATGTCCACCTACAACTTAAGAACTGTGTGAAATACTGCCTACTGTTTAACTCTTTCCAAGAAATAAAATGCCTATAAACAATGAAAGAGGTATAAGAGTGCACCAAGAAAATGTAATGTTAAGTGTCTTTAATTGTGTGACGAGAACCTGTGTGATTGTTTCCAATTGATCTGAGCTGTAATGTTACTCTCACTGCAGTCATTAAAGCCTGATGGTGAGAGTGATGGCTGCACTGTCTGCATCTTTGCACGCTTTGGCCAACTCACTCTTGTCTGTATTTAATAGAAGAACAGGAATAGATCAGCACTTAGGGTGCATTAAACAGTGTAATGTAGCATTATTTTTATGGCACTTCCCACATGGCCTCTTGCATCTTGCATGTCCATGTAATAGCTGTGTGTGTGTGTTTTTTTTTTCTGGTGAGGCAAGATTAACCCACATATATGAAAATATTGCACAACTGGATACACAGGATAACTAGTTGCAACATTTTACTTAAAAGGAAAGTTTAAGCATAATAGTTTGAAAGGATATCTAAGTCATTTCAGTGCAAGACAGGTGCACTTCATATGGGTAAACTGGGAGCTCTGCTACAATGACAACAATTCACTGTGAATTGGGATAGTGGAACACAGAAAATGTTTTAACTAATTAATGTTACGGATTCACTGCCTGGTTTTTGGCAAACAAGCCTTTATCAGATCACCTCAAGAACGGTATCCTCCTCCTGTCTATGAAGAATAAGCAATAGACAACAGCTTTGGTATTTATTTTTGTTAATCTGTAAAGCAATCCTGGGAAAACTTCCATCTTATCTTTGCACCATTTTCTGTCTCAGCCCTGGTGGTTACCAGCTGTGCTCTTCCAGGTGGTTGCTTTTAATGTACCTCAAATTTTTACTGGGGAAAACAGCATTTTCATACTATACTATTCATGGAATAACTTGCAGTAAGATCTAATGTTAGACACATTCATATCCACTGAAGAAGACACATTGCTCTTTTTCTTGAGTCTATTGTTTTTATCTTGTGAATGGATTTTTTAAATTTATTTTTTATTTTATCTTGTGTGTGTGTGTATTGTGTTTTTAATGTTGTAAATTTGTATACCTGCTACCTTGGCCAGGTCTCCATTGAGATTTTGATCTCAATGAGACTTCCTGGTTAATTGAAGACAGAAAGAAAAAAGAAATTTTTAATGGACACCTTCCATCAAAACAATAACAACATACAGTGGGTACGGAAAGTATTCAGACCCCCTTAAATTTTTCACTCTTTGTTATATTGCAGCCATATGCTAAAATCATTTAAGTTCATTTTTTCCTCATTAATGTACACACAGCACCCCATATTGACAGAAAAACACAGAATTTTTGACATTTTTGCAGATTTATTAAAAAAGAAAAACTGAAATATCACATGGTCATAAGTATTCAGACCCTTTGCTCAGTATTTAGTAGAAGCACCCTTTTGAGCTAATACAGCCATGAGTCTTTTTAGGAATGATGCAACAAGTTTTTCACACCTGCATTTGGGGATCCTCTGCCATTCCTCCTTGCAGATCCTCTCCAGTTCTGTCAGGTTGGATGGTAAACGTTGGTGGACAGCCATTTTCAGGTCTCTCCAGAGATGCTCAATGGG